AAGCTCCCCAGAGATTCTGCTTCACCCCTCCCACTGAGAATCACTGCTCAGGGATGCCTGAGCACAGTTAGGACTTCCCTACTGAGGCATTGATGGATCTTCCTTGCCCTGTCTCCCTGCAATTTCTTTCTTTTACAGGGTGGCATTATTGTTTGTTTTTTAATATCTCCTTTTATTCTTTCAAAGGGGATCTCTATCATCTTGTTTTTGGGCTTTACAACTTTTTAAAAAGATACTATTAGACAGTGAAGCTGGGACACAAAGTGAAAATTCAAGGTCACAGAGAAGCCAACATTTGCCTTACAGAATCCATGATGCCTTCCGTCTGCTCAAAATGTGTTGCTGGACAGATGGCCTCAGTGCCCAGAGCCCCAGATGTTCTGAAGAAGCAGGGCGGTGTCTGTTCCTCAGACATTTACTGCCTTTTCCTCAGGGGGTGCTGACTTCCTGCCTCCCTGCAGTGGTTCCAGGCCTGCACACTCACAGCCGTTGTTCCTGGTTGCTTTGCCCTCTTGCCTGAACATCTGTTCTCCTAACAATATCTGCCCATAAACCCTGTCCCCAAGGCCAGGGTGGCTTAGCGGGAAGGATGAAGCCTGTGACTGGCAGCTGAAGCCTCACCATGGCTACATGAGGGTGTGCCCACAACAATGCGTTTGCTGGCGGCCCCAGTGCCTGTATCCCGGGCCACGGTTGTGTGTGTGTAGCGGTCCCTGGGGCGGCAGGGGCAGGGGGGGCAGGCATTTGGCCACAGTTCCAAGGAGCCTTTTCTGCAAGCTTCTGTTGTAACTCATGCTATTGTATTGGTCTCCGTGAAGATAAGAGATTTTTATCTGGTGCATCCTGACATACAGCAGGTTGCTCACCAAATAGCTGATTGACAGTGAATGAATGAGTGAATAATTAGAAGTCTGTGTGTGACTGTCACTGGGGTGCCTATGAAAGAAACAGATTCAGTTCACCTGGGACTAGCAGAGAACCTCTTGGGTAGTATGGGGTCACTGAAGAAGTGTCCCTCCCAGTCTGCCCTTAAGAACTGCTATGATGGAAGGAGACAGCAAATGATAACGTGTCTCACTGCCCATCATTATGGCCACTGAGTGCTCTCTCCCTTCTTCCAGATCACCAGACCTTTTTAAGTGCTAGGAGTGGTCTGGAAGAGCAGAAGGAGATCAGTATTGTCTGAAGTTTCCGGAGACTGCCTCATGGAAAGGGGAAATTGAGAAAAATCATGAAAGCTGGACAGGGCTTGTTCTGGAGGACAGAGGAGCCGTGCATATCGGCATTCCCCAGTGTGGTCCTGAGCCAGGGGAACGCGTTAGATATGCAAATTCTTGGTCCCCACCCCAGACCTAGGGAAACAGGCACTTTGGGGGTAGAGCCCAGCAATGTGTGTTTAACAAGCCCTGGGGGTGACTCAGATGCTCACTGGGTGCCGAATGTGATGACCACTGATGCAGAGCAAGGAAGGGGTCTGATCTTTACACGATAGACCGAGGAGCTGGAAAGTGACCTGGGAAGTGACCTGGCATGCTGTAGATGAGTTCTGTGGCATTACAGAGAGAAGATAAGAGGGAGGCGGGAAGACCAGCTCGGAGGAGTCAAGGAAAGCAGGTGTGGGATGCTGAGGATCTCAGTTGGACAGGGGTGGCCGTGGGAACACAGAGCAAAGCCGGGTGGTCCTGTGAAGGGAGAGTGGACAAGCCTGGTGACATTTGATCTTGGGCCATACTTTAAGAGTACTGTATTCTTTAAAATGTTTAAAAATGACTTGTGCCCTATCAAATTGTTATAAGCTAGTTGTGGAAAACGTAAGAAAGAGATAAGGCAGACGTGGGGGGAGACACACAGAATTCCACCATCCAGGACAGCTACTGCTATATGGCGTATTTCCATCTGGTCCTTTTTCCTCTGCATTTTTTCTTCATGTAGCTGAAAGCATGCCATATGTATCGGTTTGCATCCTGCATTCTTTGCTTAGCAAATACCGTAAGGATTTCCTGATGTGTTTCCAGGCTGTGTCTATTGTCACAGGAGCCCCGTCGTTGGGCAGGGCGGTGCTGGTAGGAAAGAAGTAACTGAGGTTCAGAGAGAAAAGGAAACTTGCTCCATGAACTTCAGAGACTACGGAAGTCCATAGTCAAATGGCCTGCATCCTTCAACTCATAAATTATAAGGGCAAAAAGGGATGAAGGGGGAAGCTGTGAATTAAAATAGACTTAAAAGACAAACAACATGTGAGACTAAAGTACAATGTCCAGGGATGTACATTTGGGTGACAAAGAAATGCAAGGAAGTAATTACTACAGAAGTCAGTACGTGGAGAGGGTTTTGGAGCAGCTGGCAAGGTTTTGTTTCTTAACATGAGTGGTTACAAAGTGTTTGTCTTGTGATAATTCATTAAACTTACATTTGTTTTGTGCAGTTCTCTGTATCTGTTTTTTTTTTTTTTTAAGGTTCAAAGGAAAAAGGAACTTGCCCAAGGCTCCCTGTGGCAGAGGCAGGACCAGAACCCAGTTTCCCCTTGGGGTCTCCATTCTTTGAGGGTTGTCTGTTCACTCACCTCCCAGCCGCCAGCCTGCAGCTTGCCGGAAAAACTGCTGACTTACTGCTCATGCTGGTTGACTTTCAGGGCCAAGCTGGGGCAAGTTGTGGGGAGAATGGCAACTCCCCTTTGACTCAAATGGGGAACTGCTTAAGGAGATGGGTAAAGTTAGGCATGACGGCGCCCCAGCCATCGTGTCATGGGGTCTGGTGTGTGTTGCAGAGGTGGGAGATGCTCTGATCGGTTTTCTCTCTGGTTAGTTCAAAGACACACCCAGTCATCATTTGTGTTCTCAGAACCCCTTTCAGTTCATTTTTGTAGCCTGGTCTATCGGATTCCTTGAAATGATGTTTTTTTTTCTTTAATAAGCACCTACTGCCTGTCCTCCACTCACGCATGTACCCCTGCCTCAGCTGCCCTCTCCCTCTGACTTCTTCCCATTGCTGTGGAGACACCCAGGGAGGCAGTGCTGGGGCCACTGTGGGGCACACCCAGAATGGTCTCAGTGGATGAACCCTGGCAGTACTGAGCACCCCCTTCCTCCAGGCAAAGCAAACCGAAGGGCCTTTTCTGAATCTGGTCTTCTGAGACCAGGACCATGTGAGTGTTAAAACCAGAACATAGGTTTCTAGATGGACTTCTGCTTCTCTCTGCCTGGGGTACAGGTTTCACAGGGCCTCGGCCAAAGCTTTGATCTTGGATGAGGCTGAGGACACCAGTGTGGAGAAGGCCTGGTGCTCACCTGTCTAGGAGGAGGAGTCTTTGCACTTAGCCACCCGTCCTGAAGGATGTGGAAGGGTTCCTCTGTTGGGAGTCAATTAGCCACAGTCCGTGGTCTCCCCCAGATGCTTGTAGCAAAGCACTCCAGTTACAGTACACCAGGGCTTCATACTATTGAAGAGGAGGGCTCCCCTTTAGGCTCTAGAATAGTACTGTCTGACAGAACTTCCTGCAATGTCAGACATGTTCTAAAACAGGTGCCTTTCAATATGATACCATTAGCTTAGGCGGGTATCAAACACTTGAAATGTGGATGCACAACCCAGGATTGAATTTTAAATGTTATTACTTTTAATTAAGATTAAGATTTATATTGCCACACATGACTAGTGGCTACCTTATTGGACAGGACAGTTCTAGAAGACTTGGGTTTCTGAGAAGGCCGAGAGTGGCCAAGGCAAGGTGTTTCAGAACTGCCTGCCTCCCCCTTTCCTGTGCACACACAAACACACATGATACATCTCAGGAAGTCCGTGGATGTGGTGGCCTTTCAAAACAAAACCCATTGTTGAAATATTCTTATCTCAGGTCAGGCAGAGATGCCACTGACCACAAACGTGTGTGGCTTCTCTGTCGTTGCTCACTTGGAGATAAGCAGGGTAAGACCTCAGGAAATTGTGTACCTAGGAAGTCTGAATTCAGCAGGCACAGGCTTCAAAACCTGGGATCCCACCCCGGCAAGCCCATACTCCTGGCTTTGCTTCTCCTCTTTGGGAAGAAGGGTATTGGTCTATGCCTGGTAACTCGCCGATGAGCATGCTTGTGTGCATAAAGCCCAGTCATCAGGGTAGTCGGTTCACACTGGCCGTTTCAGTCCCATTTCCTATTCTGGATTGAATAGCTTGGCCTTAAGTAAGAGGGATTTTTACCTTCTCACAAAAGGTAAAGGCTGGGGCAGCTTTTAGTTTCTTGCTTTAAAAATGTATATATTTTTTTAGCAAGACGGGTAGTGGGACTGAAGATGCACTATGGTATTTACCATATAAGTTGGCCTTCTTATCCCACCCCTACCACAGCCCCCAGTTTCTACTGCCTAGAGCCTGGGAGTGCTCTCTGATGTTTGTTGAATGTATGAATGAGTGTTTCTGCATGCCAGAGTACCCTATGGGACAGACCTCTTCTTATCCTCTCCCTCTAGGCTCCTTCTGCCCTTCTCCTCTCCCTGTGCAGTATAGGCAAGCATCTCCCCGCCACCGCCTTTCTGTCCAAGACTCCCAGAATCATACTTCATTTTCCAGCACACTAACCTTTTCTAATAGCTGTTTCCTAATGTATCATAACCCAGCTATTCCAAATGTCCCAGCACCATCTTCCCCAGATCCCATGGCACATGTGACTCTGTAGGCCATGTGAACAGCCCTCATCAACAGGGTGCCATTGTGCCTTGGCTCGCCCTATGCAGCTGGGGACAGGGCCCCTCTGTGCAGGCAGGATTTCCTGTGTGCGGGTTGCCCTCTGTCTGAATAGCCCCTAGTAGTGCCCCCTTCTACCTGGTGATGCTCAGTCTCTTCTACAACCCAGTGCCTCATTCCTCCTGATTTATGTCTTTATTTATTTTTATTGTGGTAAAATATTCATAACATAAAATTACCATTTTGACCACTTTTAAGTGACAATTCAGTGGCATTAAGTATCACTGTTGTACAACCATCACCACAATTCATTTCCTCAACAGAAACTCTGTGTTGCTCATCATCCTCAACAGAAACTCTGTGTTGATTCAACGGTAACTCTCTGCTGCCCTGTCCCCCCAGCCTCTGGTAAGCTCTATTCTAATCTCCGTCTCTAGGAGTTCACCTATTCTAGATACCTCATACAAGTGGAATCATACAGTATTTGTCCTCTGTGTATGGGTTTTAGTGTGTTTTCAAGGTTCATGCATGTTGTTATCAGAATTTATATACATATACATTTTATATATTTTTACATATCATATTTATCATATATCATATATACGATATATAATATATATCGTATATCTGATATAGCATATATCAGAATTTCATTCTTTTTTATAGCTGAATAATGTGCCGTTGTTCCATTTGTATAGACTATGCAACTATTTTGTTTATCCATTCATCTGTGGATTGACAGTTGGGCTATTTCTACCTTCAGGCTGTTGTGAAGAATGTTCCTATGAACACGGGTGTCTAAGTATCTGTTGAATTTCTGCTTTCAGTTCTTTTGGGCATACATCTAGGAGTGAAATTGATAGTTCCTAGGTAATTTGTTGTTTTAATTTTTTTGAGGAACCACCAAACTGTTTTCCATAGTGGCCGCACCATTTTAAATTCCCACCAGCAATGCACTTTATTATTATTTTTTGACTCTTCATTTTAAACTGTGGAGATAATGCATGTTTGTTGAAAAACTTCAAAGGATACAGAGGAGCCTAAAGTAAACAGCAAAAGATCCTTCCTCATGGAATCGCTTAGATAACTGGTATGTAACCTTTGGTGGGTATCCACTCAGACATCTTCCTGTGCATATCCAAATGTACAAGTATACACTCGGGCACTTCACCTGAAATATCAGAGCACACGGATGGCCCTGGGCTTGACTTTCTCACATTGTTCCACATTGGCTCCTGAGATCTGGGCTGCATGCTTTTCCATTTTGTGGGTCTATCTTGTGTTGTTTATTGGTTACCGGATATTGAGAGACAAGTGGGAACTTTCCCCTTTTTCATCCTCCCAGACTGCTCTGCATTTACAGTGTTGCGCATGGGGGCTACCGTTTCATCAGACTGCAGGGAATGGGAGCTGAACTTGGTATTAGGAAGGCCATGTAACCCCAAACCACCTTCCCCACTAGTCTCAGCTTTTCCCAAGTTGCTTTCCATTCCCAGGGCAGCTAAACTAAGCTGAGCCGTGGCTTCTTTGTGAAAGAGGGCCACCCACCTGGCCTTAGCTAGCTGGCTGCCAAGGCCAGCATGTCCTCTTCTCTGGGAACTATGGCAGTCAGCCTCCTGGGAAGTAAGGAAGTAACTTAGAGCTGGGTGGAGAGGTGAGCAGCCGGCCTGAATGTGTGCGTGTGTGTGTCTGGACTCTAGCTGTAGGGGGCAGGTGGGTGGGGTTCTCTTTGGAACTATGAGAGGTGCTTGGGGGGGCCACCAAGGCATGCAGTCCCCTCACGCACTCGGAAAGGCCTGGCAAAAGGCCACCTTCCAAACCGAGGGCCAGTCTTGCTTTGGCCAGCACCTTTCTCTGCCTGGCCCCAGGCAGCTGGGGAAAGAGTACAAAGAGGCCTGGAAAACCCATAAACTGCATAATCAGCCCCTGCATCTTGGCCGCTTGACTCTGTTTATTGCTTCCTGTCCCCGAAAGCCCTTTGCAAACAGAGCGACTTTGAGGGGGGTGAGTTGGACCTGGTGGGTGGCCTGCCCCTGCCAGATGTCCCACAACACAGAGGGAACAGGCATCTTCCCTAAACAGGGTGATTCCTTTCCACTTCTCACTGTTACCCCAAGCCAAGCCGAAGGAGGATAGGAACAAGGGGGTTTTCTGAGAGTGTGAGAGCCCCCCTGCAAAGGAGGGCCACTCCACCAGGGAGCAGTTTACTTTGTAATTGACAAAGGACAAGGGTCCCATTTCTACCAATTTCCTTGAAGGCCTGATGGTTAAGCTCTAATGAGGTGCAGAAGCGGAGCTGGGTAAAGCCTTAGCCTCTGACTGACCCCTGCAAGGGGCCCATTCCCTGGGATCTAGAGACAGTCCTGGTTTTAAAGCTATGGGGCTTGCTCAAAGACTGTTTTATTCTTGCAGTTAATCTTATGGTTTTAAAAATGGGTTTTTCCTTGTCGACTAACTTTTCTCCCTTTCCTCTTCATCACCTCCAGAGTGAACTAGTTCAGTGTTTTCCCACCACTGCTGGTGGTTGAGATGTGACTCTTTCAGGGATGAGCCACGGCCCCTAAAAATTGCCCTAGACACTGGGGGAGGATGCCCCTCAGGGCTGTGTGCTGGCTTCCTTGCACCTGGGAGACACTGGGGAACATGTGGCACCTGCATGGTTGGAGGAGGGAGGCTGTCTTTCAGGAAGGAGGGGGCAGGAAGGTACCCCAGAGCTGGGGTGCCCCTTCCGTGGTAGTGGTCGGAAGCCTGAATTCTCACCCTCCCTCAGCTGCCTTCTGCTTCCTTCCTAAGTTTGACTTCCCTGACTTGGAAGCCGACTACCCACAAAGCTCTGATTTACCCCCTGTTGGAAGCCCTCTCTGCTGTAAAGAGCCATGGAGATGGGCTGGCCTGCGCTCTCTCTGCAGACCAGCGACGTGTGCAGGGCCTTGGGTTTGCCTGTGCTGTTTTGCAGGGGGCCTGTCTAAGCAGACTCCACGTGGGACCTGTGTGTGTCTGAGCCTGTGCTTTTTGGTTGTGCAATTCAGAGTCTGCCCCACCCTGCCAGCTCCTTCCTGAAAGTGAAATTCTACAGCCCTTGCTCAAGAACCAAGCTCAGCCCTGCATGTTAATGATTCTCAAGTGTGGCCACTTCCTGCTGCCCAGCCTGACTCACTCGCTGCTGTCTGGTGTTGGTCAGAGCCCAGGCTGGGACAGGGGGTCTTGCTGGGGGTAGAATGGGAGCCTATCAAGGCCCCCTCTGGGCCTGGGACTGCTGTGGCAGAGGAGGCATGCGGCAGACCTGGCCTGTTCAGCTCTCAGCTGGGGTACACCCACTTCTTTTCCATCTCCTTGCTCTCCAGCCTACTCCATGCAGCCACTCTATGCTTGTCCAGGATGCCTGAAGGTGGGACCCTTGCCAGGCTGACCTCATGTTCCTTGCCCCTCTGGAGACGCAGTTTCCCTTTTTGCCCCATGCCGAGGTCAGGGGTTCACCACTGTAAGTGGGGTGACAGTGTGGTGAGTGGTTGGGAGAGTGGGCTTTGCGGTAGAATCCTGATGCAGCCACTTCCTGGCTATGAGACCTCAAATAAGTCATTTAATTCCTTTGTGCCTCAGTTTCCTCATTGACAAGGGAATACTTCCTACCTCACAGGACTGTTGTAAGGATTGCATGTGGATGAAGTACTTAGCACAGTGCCAGGGTGAGTGCTCTGCTGTCTGGCACATACCCAGCCTAGAGCCTGGCTGAAGGGAAAGGGTTTGTGGTTTCTCCTCCAGCAGTGTACACTGTTAAGTGTTGTACACATGTAAAGCACAAGCATTTGGAGGTACTCAGCATGCTCAGAGTAAGTGAACCATCTATTCTGGGATTTTTAAATGACTAGGATCAGCAGACCCTGGCTCCAGTGCCCAGATGTTTCCCACTGTGGAAGTGCATTTTCATTCTTGCCTTTCCTGTTCATCCCGCTGGCTTTAGTTAGTTTGTGTGCACACACAGGCTCACCACACAAAAAAGTGGACTGCATCTGAATTCACCTTGTGTCTGGGGGCTGTGTTGAGAGTCCCCACAACTCCACTGTCAAGGATTTACAGACCTTGAAGGACAAATCGATCTTATGTTTTACTGCCAGCAAGCAATGAGTGAGCACAAGCTGAATACGTTATATTTTAATAGTGATCATCTAGGAATCAAGGGACTGAGGAATGTCTAGCTGCTTTTGGAAGGTCCCAGCAACTGTTGGGTGACCTCTTAAGTCTGGATAACCTTGTAACCCACTCGTAGGCTGGAGCCATTCCGGCTACACCCTCTATCCTGCCCAACCCCTCATGCTCATTCTGTGATGGGACGGAAGGAGCTCCAGATCCACACGCCCCAGACTGGCCAGTTCCCTGTGACAGACAGAGCAGGTGCGTGCTTGGGCTTGTGGGGTGATTTGGCAGAGCTTTTGTTTGATGACTGTTGACTAAGCCCAGGTGTACAGACCCAATGTTTACAGAATCCTGGTTGGTTCAGGCTGGAATGAAGAAAATAGATACTCAGGGGAGTGGGGAGGTGTATGGACAATCAGAAAGCCATTTGTTTAGGGCCTGGAGGCAGAGATAAGGTATTTTTTTGTAGATATCCTCAAATAAACTGGATAGGAATTCTTTTTAATGTGTACCTACAGTGCACATTGGCTGCTACAGGGACTGAACAGTCCATGAGACTCAGTTCGTACACCTGTGGACCACCTTGGGACCCTGGGCAGACACAGAGGATGTCAAGGATGAAATGGGTCTTGGAGATCACTTAGTCCTCCCTGCCTATTTTTCAGATGGGAACCTGGAGGCCCAGGGAGTAAAAATAACTTGCCTAAGGTCATAATTTGGCTGGTTAGTGATGGAGCTAAAACCAGAATCCACGGCTCCAAACTGCATCAATTCTGTAAGGTTGTGTTTCTCACACTCTTCTGGGTATCAGAATGACCTGAGGAGCTTGTTACTATGCAGATTCCCAGGCTGCACCCCTGGGGATTTATAGTGGGGCACACACGTCAGGGGAGTCTCATGAAGTCTCACAGTCCTCTGAAATACATTGCTATAATACAAACAGCATTTGCTTCTTAGACTGGTAGAAAAGCACATTTGCATTCCCCCAAGAGCAGGCTGGTAGCAGTAGGGGAAACAGGTAGACGCAAACAGTTCAGGAAAGGAGAGCATGAGGGATTAAATCCAGGCTTTAAAACACTTGCAAGTAACTGGTGTGTCAGGAGACTGGGCAGACACACTGGTCTCTGCCCTGTAAGGCCATGCCGTTTGGATGTGGACAACCTCCACGTGACTCAGTATCCCTATCTGTAAAATGTCTCCGATAATGGTAGAAGGTATCAGTCTACAGTTCTCAATTATGGTTGGGATTGACACCATGTGTGAGAAGCATTTGC